TCAAAGCTGAACAGTTTCCGCTGCTCTCACTTACTTTAATAATCAAATCAACGCATTCCATATTCAAATTTAACATGCAATTCCGTTTGGCCGTTGGCCGGTGCAATTGAAATTCGAATTTGAATTTAACCGCTGCGTCTGCTCCCGTGCTTATGCAATGGAATTTTTTATTGCCCTGAAATTATTTTAGTTTTGCTGCTTGCTGCGATTTCTGTTCGCCTGGTACTTCAGCCGAATTTTCGTTCAAAATTGGCATCAACCGCCGCCAGTCGCCGCCGCTGATTGACATGTAACGGGACTTGAATTTCTGCTGATTTTTTTTTTTATAACCAACGGAATTTTAAATTTAATTTTTAATTATTATTATTTTTTTTTTTTTTTTGCAGATTGCTGCAGTTGGAATTAAAGTGCAACGGAATTTCAAATTTTAGCGGATTTTGCTTAGCGTTTAGCTCACGCCGCACCTGTTGGGTATGGGTTATAATTTTTATTTTTTTTTTATATTATTTTTTTAAATTTTTTTTTTTTTTTAGTCTGCATTTTTGTTGTTTTTTTTTTTTTTTAGCATTTTCCTGCTGCAGCTCGTTTATTTTCATAAGGATTGGCCTAAAATAAAATAGACTGTCTGTACTTCCAAATGAGCTATCGTGATGTGCCTGAATTGCAGCTGTTGCAACCCAGAAAGAAGCTTTGAGCTTGCCACATGCCGTGGCACTCACCTTGCACGTGCAACACATACCACAACAGCTGCAACAGTGATTGCCTCAAAGCTGCATAGTTTCCGCTGCTCTCACTTACTTTAATGATCAAATCTACGCATTCCATATTCAAATTTAACATGCAATTCCGTTTGGCCGTTGGCCGTTGCAATTGAAATTCGAATTTGAATTTAACCGCTGCCCCCGTGCTTATGAAATGGAATTTTTTATTTCGCTGAATTTATTTTAGTTTTGCTGCTTGCTGCGATTTCTGTTCGCCTGGTACTTCAGCCGAATTTTCGTTCAAATCTCGCATCAACCGCCGCCAGTGGCCGCCGCTGATTGACATGTAACGGAACTTGAATTTCTGCTGATTTTTTTTAGAACCAACGGAATTTTAATTTTAAATTTAATTTTTAATTATTATTATTATTTTTTTTTTTTTGCAGATTGCTGCAGTTGGAATTAAAGTGCAACGGAATTTCAAATTTTAGCGGATTTTGTGCTTAGCGTTTAGCCCACGCCGCACCTGTTGGGTATGGGCTAAAATTTTTATTTATTTTTTTTTTATATTATTTTTTTTAATTTTATTATTTTGTAGTCTGCATTTTTGTTGTTTTTTTTCAGCATTTTCCTGCTGCAGCTCGTTAATTTTCTTAAGGATTGGTATAAAAATTAAATAAACTGTCTGTACTTGTAAATGAGCTATCGTGATGTGCCAGAGTTTCAGCTGTTGCAACCCAGAAAGAAGCTAACCTGGATATTGACGAAAATTTGGCTGAAGTACCAGGCCAACAGAAGTCGCAGCAGGCAGCCAAAAAGCAGTGATTTTAATGCTTGCAGCTGTTGAGCGACAGACCGTTGCATTTAAAAGCAATTTCGAATAAGTTAACAGGCCAAGAAAATGGGCGCCCCGCTAGATGCAAATATTGATTGCATACCGGAAAGGGGCAACCCGCCAAAATGAGACGAACGTTATCTTTTTTGAATAGTTGATTTATTTCATATGATTTATTTAGTATTTATCTAATATTAGAGTTAAAAATTAAGTTAAAATTAAATTAAACTAACTTAAAAATTAAGAATTGGCTACTTGTTATTTCACATGTAATAAATGGTATTTTAACAAGTTTTGGAAGTAAATCGAAAATTGTTGAATCTGTAAGCTTAGAAAGCCTCGTCCTTTTGAGCTGCTACAGGATATGGTTGATTTTCAGCTGGATGGTTACACGCTGTCGATCTGCAAGAAAATATAGAAGGCTTATTTAATCAAGAGACTCTATACTATATATTTAAGTAAAGCTAAAGGAGTTTTATGTTACCTTTGATTGAAGTGTTCGAATTCCTCGATTGCTGGCAGCATGGCAGCTTTAAAGAACAACTGAATGATTCATCATTTGGTATTGAGTAGCGGAAAGTGCACTCGAAATGCATTGCAAATAAACTTGAATTTCGTAATAAAAGAGAAGGTGGAAAGCGCAGGGCAAATACGAGCAACAATCGGGGACTAAAAGCGCTGCCAAATGTCCTGCAGCCAGTCACAATAAAAGAACAGTTCGAGTGGATGCTGTGAGTGTGTGTGTGTGTGTATGTGTGTGTGACATTCCTTATGGAATAAACAAGTGGGTGTGTGTGTGTGTGGGATTGTTTGTTTGTGTAGCACACACATAATAACTGCAGCTGCACGTTTACAATTTGTACGTGTCGTGCGTGTGTGTGTGTGTGTGAGCGAGAGAGGGAGATGAAAAGAGAGAGTGTGTGTGTGGTTTTGGTTTTGGTTATTCGGGCTTGATAAAAATGAGCGTCGGAAATGCGAATATAAATTTTGCCATATCTGATGTACAACTGTGTTGGTGTGCGTGTGTGGGTATGTGTGTGTGTTTGTGTCAGGATAAACGTAATGGCCAGCATTGCAGCCAGGATGCCAAGCAGACAGCAGACTGGGTGTAGCAGACCAATCATCAGAAGTATGCAGCACGGGCAGAGGAAACGGAAATGACATGCAATAAAACACAAAGGCGCACGCATTGCCGGTCGAACGTGGCGGGTGGGTGGTCCGCTCGGAGTGGTGCAGCTGTCAACCGTTGTGGATTATAAACGCAAAATGGCATCTAACAACAGAAATCTATCTGGCCAGAGAAACTTTTACAAAATTACAATTGCAAAAGTTGTGCACTCTCTATTGAAGATTGAAGAGGGCGGCGGAGGTGGGGCAGCAGCAGACCCGCAGCTGCTGGCCAGACGACAACAACAAACACCACCCAAGCACTCTGGCACTCTGGCACTCAACCACTTTGGCTCCCTCTGTTAGTGCGACGCACTTGACCAGACATTCGAGTGCGCCTTTGTGTGCGTTAACGCCAAGTCATTTGGCTTATCAATGCCAGACGCAGACAATTTTGCGCTTATCGCTCGAACGCATCGCGCTTCGCCTCATGCAGGTGCCGCAAACGGCCAATCGATGCTCATTTAATGCTGCCATCCCATCCCAGCCCAGGCCAGCCCCAATGGCTATGGCATGTATTATTAAGCGCCCATTAGCCGTAGCTCTTCTGGCGACAAACTGGCTGACACTAGTTGGGCCAAGGACCCGTTCGCATAGGGCGCCCATTGACATGTATGCAAACATTGCTCTAATGATGGTCAGCCCAAGTGCCCGCAAAACAAGCAGCAGCACCAGCCACGCCTCCCCCTTTCTATCTCTCTTCTCTTTCTGTCTCCTGCTCCATGGCTTGACTCACTTGACATGCAGTGGCTTGCTTTATTGGCTAATTACGCCCTGCAGCACAGCGGCTGCAGTTGCATGCCTGCATGTGATTGCTGTGCCCCAGCTTCCCCTGCCCGGCTCCTCGCCTTGCCGGACCTGCCATAATTTGCGGCCAAGTTATTAGTACTGGCACAAAACTGGCATCGTTTTATTTTCGATTTTAATTTCCATGTAGTTGCTGCTGGCTCTGCTCGTTGTTGTTGTTTTTCCCCATTTTTTTTTTCTGCTCTACATGCGCCTAATTTATATTCATTATCTGATGCATAATTATAGATAACCTGACTGCGTGTGTAGCGCAACACTCTCCGATTGCCAGTTCTTCAACTTTGTTGCCATCGCGCAGCTCGCAGCTCGCAGCTCGTATAGTCTATCTCCCTCGCTCTCTCACTCTGCAGTGTTTATCCTTGAGCTCAAATGTTATTCGCGTTAACTCAATATTTGACTAGCGCATTTGATAACAACCCCCTTGACGCCCCGCTTCTTAAGCTGGTTTAAGCATACCTTTAGCTGCTGCTGTTGCCACAAATAATTGGCAACAAGCTGCAAGGGAACATTGAGTGGGGGGGGCAAGGCTATACAAATATTTGCACAAAAATCAATTTCAAAGGGAATCGCAAAAGTGAAAATTAGAGAACAAATTCGTTGCGAGCTGGAATTATATTATAGCTATGTGATATTGGAAATTCTAGCTTAAGATATGTATATGTATATATATCTACATATACAACTTAAGCTTGCTCAGTAATAAATTTTTAATAATTTTAAATTAAATAAAAAATCAGTAAAAATTTAGAATTTATATGCAGATTCTACATTTCATTATTAACTAAAAAAATATATATATAAAAAAAAAACAAAACAGTCGAAAACATATTTAAAAATAAAATCAAATTCGTATATAAAAGTTCCACATTATAAAAAATCAAATATTTGCATACTTTCTTTTGCTTTGAACTCTTTATTCATATGCTTTATTAAAACTTAGTTCTTAACCGTAAATTATTGTAGTTTTTTCTTTAGCCAAATCAGAACGCATCCGACAGATTTATCTGGTGTGTGTAAATAGTTACTTAAGCTGGCAATAAATATATAAATTTGTTAAATATATAGTACGGTATATATACTATAGCCTATAAATAAATGTGGTATTTGTTTATTCATATGCTTTCTTATATACATATGTATATAGTGTATTATGTGTCTAGTTGATTTTCATAGTACTCTGTTGTCTTACGGCTAGATCTAGTCATACAATTTGTGTGAATTTGTTATAGAGAATAGACTTAGGCTAGTTTGATTCGCTTAATTAGGATGCACTATATTTGGAACAGTATTGAGGAGCCCTCGCTGCAAGGGCTTCCCTAACGTATTTTCATATTTCATTTGCAGTTGCGAATGCTTTAATAACTACGCGCCTTAAATCTCAAGTTGAACTTTATTGCTTTGTAAAAGTGTGGGATATGAGTTCTCTCTTTCTCTCTCTCTCTCTTTCTCTCTTTCTCTCTGCTCGCCAAATATAAGTGTGCCTGTGTGTGTGTGTGTGCTGTAAATTGATGGCCACCTGGTGGCTGCTGGTGCTGTTGTTGCTTCGTTAGCGATTCGTGCTTGGGGCTGAGCTCATTTATTAGGAGGAAGCGCGCGCTCGCAATCAGCGCTAATTAAAATGCCCTCCGGCTTGGATCACGAGATGATGCAGTTTTTGTCCTTGTCGCCAGCCAGGTCGGCGGGCTTGCGCTTTCGATCGTAGGCCAGCGCATCGTTGGGCACATAGCTGACGCGCACGCCGCCATAGTGTCGCCTCTGTGGCAGCTGGTACATCATCATGTAGTCCTCGGAGCTGGACGAACTGGATGAGCAGGTGGAGCAGACATCCGATTCCTCGGACTCTTCCCTGTCGCGCTCTCGCTCTCGCTCTCGCTCCCGGTCGCGCTGCTGGCGCGGCGATCTGTGCGCCGCCTCCTGCTCGGCCACTTGCAGCACCGAGGGTGGACCTTGGTAGGAGGAGGACAGCGGCTGGGCCGGTGCATAGGTATCAGCGCGCGTGGTCGAGTGCGAGCGATGGCCGCTGCCGCTGCGATGATGGCTCGAGGATTTGCGACGACGACGACGCCTCGAACCGTGTCCATGTCCATGTCCCTGTCGATTGCCATCACGATCTCTGTCCCTGTCTCTCTCTCTATCCCTGTCTCTGTCCCGTTCTCCAGCTCCGCTGGTGCCAGCCCCGTTGCCCGAGTAGCTGCGCGAGCGGGGCAGCGTGTCGGGTATGCCCTCGAAGCGCACGCCCTTCTTCTTGCCCGGCTCTCCGCTCATGGGCGAGGAGGAGCTGGCGCCGCTCAAGATCGAAACGGGATGCGTCGGCGGCTGCGTGGCCGACTGCGTGGACTGGGGCGTCTGCAGCGATCGGTCGCCCGCCGAGTGCGTGGGCGAGCCCATCAGCTCCGGCGGCAGCGCCGTGGACGCCACACTCAGATTCGGGGTAGGTAGCTCGGGCAGCTCCCCGACTGGCGGCGGATGCATGATGTCTGCATACTCGTGCTGCGAGGCATGGAATTGCTGAGCGGAGGCGTGCAGCGGCGGGGCCGGCAGCTGCTGTGCGAAATGCTGTGCCATGTGCTGGGCTCCGGCCACGCCCAGCTCGGGCATGCTGGACGTGATGGAGTTGTCCATTTTGGTGACCTGTTGCATCTGCCGCTGCAGCTGGTAGCTGTGCGTGGCGCCCAGGGGCGGCTTGGCCGGCCAAGCGGCATCCAAATTGGTGGCCATCTCGTTGAAGTTGTAGACGCCATCGCGCTGCAGTTCCATGGGCTTGGGCATCAGATTCGGCTGGAAGTCGCCGGGCGACATATTCTGCGAGCTGGCGTAGTCCGGAAAGTCGCGATGTGCCTGCTCCAGATCCTTGACCACGCCCGCATCCGAGTCGGAGGTGGCGTAGCTCTGCTTGGGCATCTCGCCAATGCTCACGCCGGCTGCCAGCTGCTGGCTCTGCAGCTGGTACATGGCCTGGTTGAAGCTCGCCTGGTGCTGCTGCTGCTGCTGCGGCGACATGGGCGGTGAGCTGGAGGCGTGGCTGCTGGGTATGCGCGTCTGTTGCGGCCGGATGCGCTGCGCCGGCGGCGTGGGCGTGGTGTACATGCCCGTGCCGGAGCTATCCGAGGGCGTGGGCGGCTCACCCTTGCTGCAGGCAATCGAACAATAGATGGCGCCACGGCGCGGCAGGAATGCGCGACCCAGCAGCGAGCAGCGGCAGGTGTTGCACGAGAAGCACTCGTCGGTGGCATGCCAGTGCTGCCCGTCGTGGCTCATCTGGCCCTGATCGACGCCAATGGCCTCGCCACAGTAGTCACAATACTCGGCGAACATCGCATCGAAGCAGAGCAGACAGTAGGGCTTGCCCTCCCGCATAATGTATCGCTGGCCGCCCAGCTGCTTGTCGCACTCGTGGCAGGCGAAGTGATTCATATGCCAGGCACGTCCCTCGGCCTCGGTGCACTCATCCGCCAGGATAATCTGCGAAAAGTTTTGCAGCCATTGAGCGAAAAGTTTGGCGTCGCCGCTCCCCTAGGGGGAGTCGGGAATCTGTGAAGGGGGCGGGTCGGGGAAAAACTTACCTCATCACAGGCTGAGCAGCGCGGCTTGAGCGTCTCGGCATGATGGCGGCCACAGTAGATGCGGCCATCGCGATGAAAGTAGATGAGATCCACGAGCAGCTCGCGGCAAATGCAGCACGTAAAGCACCCCGGATGCCAGCTGGCGTTGGGGCCAAGGCGCGTGGCAAAGACCGCAATGTCACCGGTGGAAATCAGCTCGTCGCACTGCCAAATGCAATTGCAATTGTAATGAAAGTTCGGGGCGGGGCTGCTGTTGCAACAGTTACTGGATACTTACGCCATCGCATGGACGTGCGCTCATCAGCTGTCGCACGTTGCCGCGTCCAAGTGCATCACGCTTGCGCTGTGTGGAGAACAGACGCAGCTCCTTGCGCTCCTCATCCGTCAGTGAGTGACAGTAACGAACCTGCAATGACAGAAGAACCGTTTCTTGAGACACACAGACAGACAGACAGTCAGAGAAAGAATGAGAGACAGCAAAATCATATGTTCAAGTTGTTCTCGTTGTTCTTCTCGGCGTTGTTGTTGCTGCTGTTGTTGTTGGCGGTGGGCAGGCTGAAGCGATCTTTCCAAGAAGTCAACAACGGAGCGCAGATTGTTTGTCTGCGCTTAGCTCCAACTCAAAGTCGAGTGGCCTGTGGGCAGGGCAGACAACCGCAGACAGCGAACGGTAGCCAAGGCTGCCCATCAACTGGGTTAGCATCTGGTGGACTAGAGCGGCCCTCCTGCGGCTCCTGCTCTTGCTGCTTGTGGCCTGTGGTCAGCGTCTCGTTTGTGTGTTGTATGCAAATTTTTTTCCGGGCTGCCTCTTTTTTGTTGAAGCAGCGCACAATTTGATTTGACTTTCGGCTTGGAATTTGGGCATTTGCCAAGCACACACACACACACACGCACACAGGTACGTCTATAGCTACGCACACCCAGCACCAAAGTCTGGCCAGCAACTCGTTAACATGGCAACCCCTCAGTTAGCGGCAGTGGTTAAAAGTGGTAAATGCTAAAATGCTAAAATGGTAACTGATATGCCCCAACTCACGCAGCTGTGGGAATCCGCTCAGCCTAAGCTCCATACCCTGAACAAAAATGAGTTTCCCTAACATATCGTTTGGCAAGGGATTGAAGGGCAAATATTTATATATGAAGATTGTCCTTTGGATTACTGATAAATAAGTTATGCTAAAGGCAATTATATTATTAGAGATTTTTGGGGATTTAAAAAAAATAGTTTGACTCCATTTTCTAAGATAAATTTATCTGGGAATTGAATTGAAGCCTAATAAAATTTAAATAATATAATAAGTGGTCCTTAGATATGTTTAGGATTTTTTGATAGATGCATTCATGATATTATATGATAATATTTTGATAATATTTTACTACTAAATCTATCTATGAATTTAGCTGAGAGTCCCGAAATATCTGATGGAGTTCAGGCTTTTTTCCCATTATCATTTATTTTTCTACAGCTCCTACAGCCTTCCCTTTACAGTAGCCCCCTCGCTCAACATAGGGTATTCTCATTTCGCTTTACTTCTCTTTTAGCCTTCGGCTTTTGTTTATTTTGGTTGTAGTTTTGTGGTTTTTCGCCAGGGCTGTCCGGTTCAGTTAGTTGCACTTGTTTCCTTGATTAATTAAAAGGCACAGGAACAACAACGACAACAACAACAACAACGACGGCGAACAGCAACAACAATTTAGGAACTGGGCCCGTGTGGGAAAATAGTTGCTGGCAGTGAACCTGGATGCCTTTTTGGTCGTAATTCGAGCTGTCGCTGCGAGGACACGAGGCCATTCAATCACGATAAAATGCGCACACATTTGAATAAATACCACGAAATTGACAGTTTCACTAGCCAGAGCCACCCCAGGGACCCACAGTGGGTTGCCCAGTGGCGATAGAGCGGAGACTCACCTCGTTATCATGCGGCGGCAGTTGATGCAGCAATTGTCGCACACGATATTGCTCGCCGGGACTGTTGACGTATGGCACTTTGTCGTCGGGTATTTGCGAGAAGTACAAACGAACCTGGAAAGAGATAGACAGAGAGAGAGAGAGAGAGAGAGAGACAGAGAGAGAGAGAGAGTTAGTTAGAGATCACACACTAAACTCTAAGCTAAGTGCATGCAAAAAGGGCTTTAAGCTAAGCTTCAACGATTCAGCATTATCATCCACATCGTCATCATCATCATCATCATCGTCATCATTATCATCATCATGTAGTCTGGAGGCCTGTCAAATGGCGCACAGCAGGTTGCTTGGCTGGCTAGAAGATTTTCTCCTTTTGATTTTATTACGTTGATTTGGCCATTTTGGCCAGGTTGAAAGGTGCGCAACGTGCTGCCACGGTCAACTTCTAAGCCGTTGCAATCGGCTGCTCAGTTTATTGGCCACGTTTTGGTTTTTCTGTTTTTTCTGTTTTTTCTTTATTTTTCTCTCAGTCTCTTCAAGTGCCGCGAAATTTAAGCATGCGATCTGCCGGCAAATGACCACAGACTGAGCCAACGGCCCGCCAGGCAGCCAACTGGCCAGCGTGATAGACAGACGGATGGAGAGAGAGACGGACGAGTGGACGAATGGACTGTCCGACTGTCCGACTGACTGACTGACTGACAGACACATGGCTTATGCTGCGTCAACGTAAATGGCTGTAAATAAATTTTCAATTCTGTTTGTAGCCTTTGCCAAAAATACAATATAGCAATGGCAATGTCAGCTGGCTAAACAATTATGTGCGGCTAAGAGTTACCCTGGAATCAAGCCTGAAATTTATTTTGAATACCCGCTTATTGATTGATACCCTGTGGTCAGTTCTATATTCCCATCCAAAAATCTGTTTGATAATCTTGAGCTGCTGCCAAAATTGATGTAAAAAAATCTTTGGCTAAGACAAACATCACTAATTTGACTTTCGATTTCGGTATCGAGTATGTAATATGATCATTATCAGTAATGTTCGATAGCAGATAGATATGGAAGAGCTGACTGGAAAATCTTAGCTTTAACAGTAAACCAATTCAAGCTCTCTGACAATTGGATTATAGCTTTAGATCGAGGAAATCTCTACTTAAGAATGCTGATCTGCTTCTCATAGAATCACATTCTGCAAATGACTCTCCCATCCACCCTCTTCAGTACACTCCTCGCTTACAGGGTATTTAAACGTCTGCCGACTCGACATGTGATAGGCGGCGTCAGTTTGAGCGGGATTAACGCGACTCTATGCATTCCGACTGGCAACTCAGTCGCCATCAGCATGTCAAACTGTTGTTGCCAAAGTCTCTTGGGCAGGGTCTAGACCGAGGTCCAGCCTGCAGCCAGCGCTATCTGTCACTGCTCCAGGTTCAACAAGAAAAAAAAAAACCGAATGGGCCCTAAAAAATGGTTAGTAGTGCACTTCTGGGCGCCGCGGTCGCTGGCAAAGATTGCGCAAGATTTATTTGGCATTGGCGCATATTTTACGCAAATAATTTATGTGGCGTTAAAGGCAGCCAAAAACGCAAGAAAAAAACCAAAGAAAATGGAAAAATAATTGAAAAAAAAACCTCATTCAAATGCAATTTTTTGTTCGGCTTTTTGGCCATTGAATTGGCCATAAAAGTCGCATTGAGAAATGGCTAACAAGTTGCGGCAGAGCGAGTGGGCCGCAGCAGTTGGAGTTTCATTAGCGCAATCTAATTTTCAATATGCAGACAGCTCCAGCTGGCCCACACGCCGAGGGTTGCTGCCAGGAGATGTCAGAGCAGCTCGCAGATGAGAGATGTGCGATGCGCGATGCGCGATGCATTTGCTATCGGCTCGTCGCCTGACTGATTTATGGCCCGCCGATGAACAGCTCGGGCTCCACTATTTTAGTGACAAAATCACGCACAATAAGTCAGGGCCAGTCAGGTCCAGTCAGGTCCGCTCAGGTCCGTTCAGGTCCAGTGCGAAGTCAAGTGAAGCCAGGACGGGCACGTCGAGTCACGCAGCTTATCGGCGCACACAAATCACTGATCTAGGCGCTGTGCACTCACCTGATCCGGTCGCAGGCCGGGCGGCACCCAGGTGTATTCCTCCAGCGCACAGCCGCTGTCATCGTCCGAGTGTGATTGCCGTTGCATGTCCTGCATGTGCGGACCGGCTAGAAAGGGCGCATGCGCAGCCGCCGCCGCTGCTGCTGCCGCCGACGAGGCCGAAGAGCCGCAGTTGACTGCCGGGTGGTGCAGCAGTGAAGGTGGCGACGGTGTCGACAGCGCCGGCGACAGTTGATGATGCTGCTGCTGCGGATGCGGCTGATGTTGCTGCTGGAGCTGTTGTTGTTGCTGCTGCTGCTGTTGTTGGTGGGCATTCGTATACTTGGCCTGGGCAACAGTTGGCGGCAGCATCGGCAGCTGTTGGTGGTGCGGCGGCAAGTATTGCTGGTGCCGCTGCAACGGCACCGGCGATGTGGGCAACATGCCCGCATTCTGCGCCCCATACAAAGCCCCCGCCGATGAGCTGCTGGGCAGGCCAACGAGTGTGCTCAGAGGGCCCGCGGCCTGGCTGGGCGAGAAGTGGCGCGGCAACGTCGGTATCTTCTGCAGATAGGAGATCTGCGTCAGTGGAGTGCGACTTATGGGCCTGCAAAGAGAGCGAAAGAGAGAGAGGGAGAGAAGGAGTCTTTAGTTATTGGCATTTTTGTGGCGTGGCGAAATTCAAACTCAATTAAAATATTTTCACATCACATTACATGGCGGGTTAAAGGTTTTACTATCCGCTGGGAAATTGTGGTAAATAAATTTAAAATTGAACAGCCAAAGCCAAATCATATTTTAAATGAATTATGAAACCGCAGAACAAAGCGATTTCCTTTTTAATTCCCGTGCTGCATATATATGTACATATATGTGTGTATATATTTAATTTTTTCAATTCATACAAGCTGTCAATTTTAGTTTGTTTTTTATGCGACGCCGTAAAAAAAGGATTTGCTGTTTTTTGTATTTTTTGTTTTTACTGTAACTGCGCATCAAAATGAAAGTACAAATACGCTTCACAGCGCTTACACAAACAAATCGACGGCTCTGCTTGTTTTTTCCCCAATTGTAAATGTATGTATAGAGTGAGAGATATATTTATGTATGTATGTATGTGTGTGTATTTGTATGTTTTTCTGTTGTCTGCTTTCCGGGCCCTTGGGCTGTCGCTGTCGCTGTTTGTCATTTTGTTGTACTGCTGACATTGTTATCCTAGCCGCGCCCCCACCAAAAAAAACTGCGCTGCAAGCAATTGTCGGGGGACTGTTGACTGCCTGTATGTGTGTATATATGTGTATATGTATGTGTACTCTTGTTGGTGAGCTTTGATCGCTGCAGTTAAGCATTTCGATCATTTCGACGTTCGCTGAATTTATTTAAGTTTCGATATTGAACATGATAAATTCAACTAGACATATATCAAATACCAAATTTGAATGGCTTAGGCTCAACATTTAGTAATAATTTATAAAACAAAAGCTGTCAGCAATTGAATGACGTATGTGCATAAGTTTAGGTGTTTATATATAAGATCAAGTAGATAAGAAGGAATCTGATCTAGCATAAAATATTCATTGGGGTTTTAATAAAATGGTGGCTTTAACATAAATTATTGAATATATCGTTTTTATAAAAGACAAAAAATAAAAAAATTAATAATAATAATAAAAGCAATAATAATAATAATATTAATAATAATAATACTAATAATAATATAATAACAATAAAAACAAAGAAAAATAATTAAAATAAAAACAAACATAAATAAAAAAAATAAACAAAATAAATATAAAATACAATTATATTGGCTACCAGGTTCTAAGCACATATATGTAGAATTTCTAAGAATTTTTTATAACGTTGGAGCTAATCGGATCTCCTGTAAAAATCTTTTTTAGTTTCCAATTTCCCAAATTTTCTTAAATGCAGATTAACTCTTAATACCAGATAAAATACCACAAAAATATCTTTTAAATATAAATTCAAATTCCCGAGCACCCAAAGAGATCTGCGCTTTGTATTGTAGGGGAATCAAATGCGCGCCTTATATCAGCCACAGCACGCACCATTTTATGCCAATTGTTGTTGTAGCAGTTGTTGTTGTTGTATCTATCAAAGGATAACTGTGCATTGTCTGTGCATATGTAACTCTAGCATTGACTTCCTCCTGGCCAAACGTTTGCCTGATGGGCGTAACCAACTGGGATATACATATACACGAATATTTGTATTTGTGTGCGTGTGTGTCCATGCGGGCGTTTTATCAAAACAATGTGGCCGCCCTTTTGTTGTTTTTGTTTCTTTTTTTGGTTTTATTTGAGGACCCGGATGATTTAACCAGGCGAATTCATTCTTTTTGTTTCAGCATCCGCATCCGCAGCCGCATCCGCATCCGCTTTAGCGATTGCAATTTCATTTCTAGTTCGCTGACTACGCGCCCAGTTACTGATGTGTCAATATATTGTGGAAGGTGGTGCCAGTGGAATGGCTGCAGCGAGTGGCTGTTGCGGTTTGCCCCGCAAATTAATTGCGCAGATTTTTCGACTTTGGCAGCCAGTAAAGCATGCTAAAATGTAGTTTTGCCCCATTGTTTTATGGAGCGTAGACATTTGCATTTTAAAGCGTAGAGCGAAGAAGCGGGGTGAGGACTGCAAGGAATGCGTGGCGTTGCAGTGCACTGGATTGGCGTGGGATAGCCAAAAAGGGGAACCACTGCACGTGCAGTCGCAGTCCGCGTCGCAGTCACAGCTGGAGACAGATGCCAGCGGCGGGCAGACAAAAGTGTTGGCTGCTGTCAAATCAGCCGCATTCAAACTCAAATTACAAGCCAAACAAACGGCGGGCTGGCGAACCGAGAGCCGAGAGCCGAGAGCTGGGACTCGAAATTCAGCAGACACGGCAACTGGGAACCTGGCCTAGGCTGGCAGCGCACTGGAAATACTACAAATGAAAAGCGAAGCGAATGCCAAAACTGTGCCTAAACAACAAATTTGTTGCTGCAGCCAGGAAAATGAGAGGAGGCTGCAGCTGGCAGGAGTCGGGGCTGGAGCTCAGTTGAATTTATTGTGCGGTCAGTTTGCAGTTGGGCCGTTGTGCCGTAGTGCTGTTGGCGACCTGCATTTCTTTTCATTTGCGCGCCACATTTTTGCAATTTGCAAATTTATTGTTGACTGTGCGGCGAATTGCGTAAAATTGGCCAAAAGCAATTGTGGCCAAGTTTCAATTTGTAGTCGTTGCTGGTTGTATTAAGCCATTAAAGCAGCCGCAACTAGCCGGCTCACCAGCAGATGAAAATGGAAAGTGCCATAGCGAACACGCAGCGAAATTTGCGTGCTCTGCAACAATGTTGCCAGCAACATGTTGCCCAGCTGCTGGCTGTTGCTATAAAACGCAACTTTTATTATGTTGCAAGCCCTCGAGCTGGTGCGCGTGCATAATAAATGCGGGCAGACTGTGGCCTGCGGGCAGCTGTTGCCAATATTTGTATTTGCATTGCCAAAGCATAAACTTGAAGAAGAAGAAGAAGAAGAAGACAAGAAGGAAGCAGAAGAAGCAGCAGTTGAAAGGGTTCACTTTGGCAGTCGTTGAACCAAAAAAAAAAAAAAAAAAAAAAAAAAAAAAATAAAAAAAGAAAAGAAACCTAAAACTGGTTTTTCCCACTTGGCTGTGCTGCCTCCACTTCTGTCTTAACTCTAGGCTCATGCTTTCGCGCCCTAAAACTAGTTCAAAGCGTTGCCATTGATAAACCGCACCACCTCCTCGCCACGCCTCCTGCTCGTCTCTGCCTTTGCCCATTGCAGCTGCACGACCATGTCAAGTGGTGGCAACATCGGCTTAAGCACTCGCCATCATCATTACATATACATACATACACATACAAATATATATATATGTATATAAATATATTTATCCATACTATATTTAGCTGGGCCGCTTATCTGGCGGCTGGCATCTAAATGAATGATCATTATATACGCCACGGCGAACGCGTTGACAAATTGCAAAGACGGACGTCTCAATGGCTGCCCCTAGATCTGAGCCATGGCCAACAGTCGCAGCAGCCGCAGCGGCAGCAGCAACAATTTGCTGTGCGGTTAGCTGTGCCCACAAATTTGGGTTAATGCTGTTGGAGGCGAAAGTTTCCACACTCTAGTTTTCCATAGCTCAATTTTTGCCGCCTCCCACCTCTCTGCATCTCCCCGGACAGGTGGTCCCTTAAATGTCGTCTCTGGTATTTGACCAGTGAGACTTGTTTAGTAAGTTTTACGATGTCGACAACAACAGCAGCAACAGCAACAATTATTGTCCAGGTTCCTGTGCGACTCCTGCGAACAGCAACGTCTGTTGCGTTTTATTGTTTTACAGCTGCAGGCAGTACGGGCAGCAGTAGTCGACTATGAAATACCCTAGTCATACCCTAGGGTATACAATTTTGTCTAAGTGAAATGCGTTCTAGTATGATAAAGTGAGTCTTTTTTTTTTTTTTTTTGATAAACTAAAAGATAATACTGTATATAAAAGAAATTTTGTTGTGAACTATTTTGTCCAAAAAATAATTATAATATTTTTAAAAATAAAAACTACGTTCAAAGTAATGAATAAAAAATATTAGAAGTGAGTATAGATACTGCATTCTATCATAATATATTAAAGACTTCAAAATGTAATTATAAAAATATATCAAAAAATTTACAATATTATAAAATCTATATGTTGGCTGTACCATCAACTAACTAGTTACTAGAATACTCCTTTGCACGTCCAGCTACAACAGCAACACGAACTAACTACAATACGACGAGAGAGCTTTATTAAAACCCATGCAGCGCGCTCACAACTAGTGCGATTGTCATAAACGATTTTTGAATTGTCAATAAAAATTGTCGTTAAGTTTATGGCAAACATGGAAGGAACACACGTAGCAGAGCTTCATCTAAGCCCCCATTCCTGCGGCTCCTTTTGTCTCTGCATTGTGTCTGGCCTGGCTTCAGCTACACCTAGCGTCCAGTCTCCCGCCTGCCGCCTCCCGCCTTCCGCCTCCTGCCACAGTCGCTGTCAACATGACATTTGGCGTGTTGACATTTTTATTGACTTTGGCAGCGAGTCGTACCCAGACCTCGTGCTCGTACCGCTCCATGGCTGGTAAAAAATTCCATCTCGTTGCTGCGAGCATTTTTTTTTGCAGTTGTCATTTTCTGCTGCAGCTAAAAGTTGATTAAGAATGTCTGCCGCAGTCAGAGTGAGCCCATGCTGTGGCCCATTCTTTGGCTGCGTGTGGCCATTGCATTTATTGCGCATACGCCAAGTGGCACTAATTGCAGAGATACACAGAGTGAGAGAGAGAGAGTGGGAGAGAGGAGTGGAGAAACAGAGAAATCAATTAAATGCCTAACTGTAAATAAAAGGCAGCTGTTAATTTGTATGTTCAATTTAGAAAGTCGCGCATAAGCAAAATAATTGCATAATTCAAGCAGATCACAACGCGAATTTTCACACCAACCGCCATCGATCGAGGTGCAACAGAGCGGGCAGCGAGGCCTGGGGGCGTGGTTGGCTCCCAGGCAAGCTGAGAACAAATTGTTTGCTTATCTTTCGGTAACAAAG